AGTTGTCTGCTTATGCTCCAAAAAAACTGCTGATACAATCTTTTCATTAAATTAAATCTAGTTTGCTTTAATTTTTAAAAACTTAAAGATTCCCTCAAAACTTTTAAAACAAATGTGCATAAGGATGTTTTGAGTTCTTGTTTCTAGAACAAAATAAAACAGTAGCGGCGTTATAATCAGGAGAAAAATCATACAGCAAAAATGGCTACAGCGATTTTTTAATAAACCTGGTAGTTATCTTCAGTATGCAACCTCAGACTTATGTTATCAGTATTGTAAAGTTTGACCAAAGTGGGCGGGGCTTATGCACAAAAAAATTACAGGTCACCTTTTAAAAAATTTTTAAAATCAGCCGTGACATCTGAAATGTTGAAACTTGCAAAACATATTCTAATTCTATTTCTTAATATCACTCATAAAATCTAATTAGATATCACAAATTATATTGTGATTATGAAAAAAAAAAAAGAATTTCTTTAAGGTAGCAACTTTATCTCCACTTCATTAGGACCAAATGCCAAGAAACTTTAAACACCACTTCAGACGATGATATTTATGGTTTTGATTTAATTTGAAATCGACTTATTTGGCTAAAGAGCTGAAGAGGCTCATTGTGAATATTTGGGGATTTTTTTAGACAAACAGGTGATATAAAATTTCCATCAGTATTGCATATTTATATAAATAGAATCTTAATACATTTTGAACATGTTTACATTAATTGGGCATTACTAATATGAATTTGGTTCGTGATACAAACTTTGATGTGATTTATTTTTTTGTGTTTTGATAGACTGATTATTTATAATTTTGTTATATATTACTTAAAATTCTGAAGGATGTTTTTTATTGGGCAAACATCATCTGTAAATTGATCAACTTATTCCCTTTCTATTTTACAATTATTTGAATATGGACCAAGTCACACTGAAAATTGTATTTATTCAGGAAAGTTCACAATCCGTGGACCTGACAAAATACTAATAGGGCGTATTAAGAATACTGGTCTTTCAACAACTATTTAGGTAATTATTTGATGAAATATGGATTTTTAATTAATTTTAATGTTGAGGTCTTTATTCACTCCTACTTTTCACTCTCAACTTTCTCGCTTTTTTCTAAAATAATTTAAAGGTCTAGGAACATGATGAAAAATGCATATTAATGCAGACATGGTGCTAATTAACAGATAATATTTCAGTAATTATTTCATAACCTATGTACTTTTATTCATTTTCTTCATATTTACTAAGGACAATTAAAATGAAATTTAGCATTTTTTGTAATAAAAAAAAAAATAAAATCAAGAAAACAGGGCCGTATGTCAACATTTGTAGTGTTTCTTGTATTCCTACTGCTCTGAAAATATGTTAGGAATTTTATCGTTGTATATGGATTTTTAATGCATCCCCATATTCGATTCTTTATTCTATTATCCTCTTTATAAAAAAATTTGACTGTTTTTTTAAAGAAACAAACAAATTAATATTGGTTAGGTTCCATCAAAGTGAAAACAAACAATCTTTTAGGTGTAAAAAATTACGAGGCAGAAAGTCCTATGAGCAATCATAGTGTTTGTTACGCATTTACAGTGTTCAAAAATATTTCTGGGGAATTGCATAAGTAAATGTGGATTGTAAATTACTTTCCATGTAGCCAAAAATATTAGCAGACAAATAGCAGGGATGGGCTTGGAACGTGTTCATAATTGCTTGCAGTTCTAGTTTGTTTGTTTTCTGCTTCTCCCTGCAGGCAAACAGAAGCACTTGAAAAAACACTTCCAAGTTATCATTCAACTAACCTTTACAAACACAATCTGATTCTTAAAACTCATTTGCACCTGCTATAAATGCATTGTGGGGAGCAAATCCAAAAAATAAAATTAATAAATAAATATATATATATATATATATATATATATATATATATATATATATATATATATATATATATATATATATATATATATATATATATTAACAATTAACAGGTTAATTAAAGCAACACAAACTTCTAAATCATACAGCAGTCACTCTTTTATGCTTAGATAAAACGGTGAATGGAAAAGTGCTCTAGGTCAAACCACTTCCTGCTTAGAAAATCTCACTAACTCGACCTCTGTTGAAAGAAAAAAAAACTTTAAAACCTTTTCTCATCAACAGCCTGATGGCCCTAACATACGTAACGGGGATCTATGTTACAGAAACGCTGAGTTTAACTCATGCACTCCAGTTTTCATTTTATCATGAGGCTAATATCACACACATAAATATGTTTTAAGCAACACCAGGGGTGTGTTGACCAACGTTGTGTTACACAATAACTTATTGAACATAATTAACTCTGGATCCACGTCTTCAATTGTGTGTAAGGGATTACTCTGCAAAACATGTCTAATTGTGCAACTTTAAGAAGCAGAAGGCTGTAATCACAAAGGGCTGCATGCATGCAATATGTGCAATAAGCTAGATGTCATGCATTCAAACCTTTTTTGGCAAAAACACATTTGGCCAAATGGTTAGACTTTCACACTCTTTCTGCACACACCTGATGCAAAGTTGAAAGCAGACATTTGACAAAACCGAATTAAAAACAGCAGCTATTCTTTAACTTCTGAGAATAAAAAAGATTAAGCATTTCATGTTCCTTAATTATTTGTTTTTCCTATCCAGAGGTGAACTCCAAACCTTTATAAGACTGTCTGATCCTTAGGTATGATTTCCAAATCTCTGCAGTAGCCACATACCTCTGCTCAAATAGTTTCCTGCAAGCATAAACAACATCAGAGCATCCAGCTCCTGTGCAGTTGAGGGGTGAACATGTTTTGGTGTGAGATATTTTTATGACGTGGACTAAAAAAGGAGACGCTGAAAGGAAAAAGCAACACTAAACTCCAGAGGAAGGAAGTAGGTGCTCTTTGAGTCTTTTAGAAATAAAAAAGTGACAGATCTTGGTTTTTAGGCGGGTACCTAACAAGAGAAAGAACCACTAAATAATTAGTCTCTTGTTTTCTTTTGTTGGGTTTTGTACAACAAAGAGCCTCAAATTCTAGCATAGACCATCATGTGGAAAGCATGTTCGACCCATGTATAGCCTTAAAATGTGTATATTTGCCTTCCTTCAACCTGGCAGATAAAAATGTATGTTAGGTTACCTACCAACCCCTGCAGGGTGGAACCCACTCTGGCATCTGGCATTGCACACCAAAACCACAGTAAATGAACTTCTTAAGCTAAAATTACATGTACTTCCTTTCACATTCTACCTTCTACCGTCTATATAAACCTAGCTGACTGGGAAGCTGAATCAGTCTCTCTTTATTCACTATTAGCAGCACTGGTCAGGAGGGTTAGCTGTCTCACGTCCTTTAACCAAGTGGAAAGAGTTGTGGTTAGTCAGGGGTTCATTGGCAGATAAAACACTATGACATACAACGTGAGAACTCAAGCACTTGTTTGTTGTGAAAAAAAGGCTTTAGAGCATGAAGACATCAGGATCACAGCTACATTAACATCAGGCTGCCTGCTCTTACAGAGTTGGACATGTTCTCTTACAGGAAAATATGATTTTTTTCTTTGCACAGGGGAAACACAGGGTGTCTGTAAAAACCTTTTAATAGACTAGTGGGATCCAAAAGTACACTTCAATGTTTTTTGCTTTTTTTTGCCTGGGTTTGTTATATGTGATTGAGAACCAAACCTTTATTTAAAAAAAAAAAAAAAAAAAAAAGGCGTGAATTTGTCATTTTTTTTTTATCCCTATAGCAACAGAAATTAGCTCCAGTTTAGTCAGATTAGACAGACCTAGATTGATCAAAACCATTCTACAGTAGCTATAGGGTTGCTGCTCTGCTGGATAAAGTTTTATTTAGAAGTACCAGAGTAAAATGCATATAAGCACCATATGGATTAAAAAAAAAATTCTATTGATAACCTTACACTTTTTCCTTTTACTTCACAATTATGCATCACTTTGTATTGATCTATGATATAAAATGCAAATCATATAAATTGATGTTTGTGGTTCGAGAGGCATGCAGGATTGAATATTTTTGCAGAGTGTAGTTCACTGACCCCCAAGTAAACCCAACAAAATATAAAAAAAAATTTTTTTAAACAGATAAAAATCAAGCAAAAAACATAAATTATTCAAGCTACTTTCCAATGTTATTATATATCAATTACATTAGACTGGGATGTGGATATGTGGATTAAAAGCTACACAATATCAAAACCAATAAAAGGTCGGAAAAAAAACACACAATATCAAACGGGGTCATATGCAAATCTCGAGTTCTCTGTCAGATCTTTGACATATCTGGTAGATGATTCGGTTTCACCCACTTGTTCAGTTTCCATCATTTTTTAAACGCACTCAGCTAATAGTTCCAACATGAAAAGTTTTAAACAAAGACATCTTTAGGAAGTTTTAGCATGTATATAATTTCATCCTTCATAATTAAAGGAAGGGTGAAAAAAACAAATCGCAAGTTCATTCAGTTTTAAGGTCACCTTAAGAAAGATTTGAATTACGGCTTCTACTCTATTTATATGCATTTCAAAGAGGACCTTCTGTGAAACGGCACAAATACTTAATCATAATGTTAATCTCTCTTTTTTCTTAGTGCTCTTAAGTACAGAGGAAAGCAGAACAAACATCTGTTCAATATAGCATTAAGTAACGTTCCAGGATGCAGCGTCAAACTGTTACACAACAAAAAGAAAACTGAAACCAGACCCGGCTTCACATCTAACCGTGGTGGTTTTTAATGGAAGGAAAGATGCTCAGAGTTGACGTTCCACTAAGTGATAAATCTTACTCCTGATGGACAGAGAAACAGAGAGTATTTCCCATCATCAACAGAGAGACTTGCATGCTGGTACTGGGTTGTTCAGCTACAGTTTTATCTCTATGTGCTCTAGCTCTGTTCTTCAGATCTAAACCCCCATAACTACTGAAATTATCACCGAACGTTTGAGTTTGTGTCATGCAAGTCTTACCTGGTAAAATTCTTTCAGCCACGTCTTCTTCAGATTTTCAAGCTGAAACAAAGAGGATAGACCAGTTAGTGAAATTAGCAAAATAATAAATCTTTATTTTAGGAACAGGCGGAATAAACAGATAAATTAAGCAGCCATTTTCCGTTGAAATGTTCATACATGTTCAGACAGTTTCACCTCCTCTAACCTGTTTGTATCAGTGTTGACAGCAATTAATATGTAGCTGACTGCTTTTAATTTAATTCCAACATTCTGCCTTCTTTGTTAGCATTTTATCAGCAATCTCCATCATCCCTTGGCACTACCTACGTATTGTATAACTCTTTTCAGCAGACCCTAGGAATTTTTTTGTTGGGTCGATTTTATTCTGACATTTACCGACAGGCGCCTCACTTTTCCTTGTGAAATTCAAAAGCACTATGGCTAATGTGAGTTTGCACAGTAGGAGGCTAATAATCATTTCGCAAATCGTTTAATCTTTCAGTTATTTTTTAGATTATTTGATTAATAATCGGATGGTAAATTTTCCTTACAGAAATACAGGTGAAACTAAAACTTCTCCACTTACCAGTGTTGTTGATAGAACATATTAATGGAGCAAATATATATATTTTTTTAACTTAAATGTAAAATGTTTATTTGTTGATTTTCTTTTTACAGTTTTAATGTAGAAACTGCTATAAGTGGGTTGCTCTGTTAGCTAAATTGTGTTTTAGAGTCGCTATACTCCCAGTTAAAAATTATTAAATAAGGTGATTATTATTTCTCTAATCAAGCTAATCATGATTAATCCGATTAATTGTTTCAGCCCTAATGCACTACTTTGAATGATTTGGGTTCCTTACAGCGGCCCCCCGCAGTCACTGTGAGCCCAGCATTATCTTGAAATGATTGACTCCAGTTCTTGGAGGTTAGAGGGCCTCCCTGCCATTACCCTAATCTTGAGCTGCTTTAAATTCTCCATTAAATTGATACAATGTGCAAAAAACATTGCACTAACTATAACATTTCTCTAAAATAATCATTCTGTAAGAAATATGTACTTTAAATAAAGAATTAAAAGAGATAACTTTGAGGGAAATCCATTCATAAGAGCTTAAAATATATTGTAAGTTCATCAGTTTTATTAAAAATTATAATAGCCATGAACTTCAGCAGACTTGACACAGTAAACACCTGAGCTTTAATGCAGAATTAGTGTAAAGGTGCGGTTACTTATTCACCTGGGTGATTGCAGATGCCACATTAAACAGATTTTTTTTTTTTTTGGTTGAACTGAAAAGCCTTTTTAACAGAGGTGTCTTTACTCTTTCCACCTGCCATATATATATATATATATATATATATATATATATATATATATATATATATATATATATATATATATATATATATATATATATATATATATATATATATATAGTAGCAATTTGCTTCTCTTCAGTTCAGTTATAAAGAAGCAAGAATATAATCCGTGTATCATTCGTTCTTTCTATTTTCAATTGTCAATCAAAAAACAAAAAATAAAAAATTGACTGGTTATTTTGTTTTTTGTTTTTTATGGTTAAACCAAAAACGAAAAAAGGATTTGTTTTTCATATATCAATTCTAAGCTCAGATCAAGAATACGAAATGGAAAAACGCAGAATTTGATTTTAATATTTAATCGGTACAGTTTACGTGACCCGGAAATAGCTCTTTGCGAGGCAGTGGGGTGATGAAGTGGCTACCATGGCGACGCTAGAACGCTGTTTGTTGTTGCTAGTTAAAAGTACAGTGCACAGAAAAGTTTCAAGAAAAAAGTTATACCTGGAAAATCCTGCTGATTTTCTCCGTTGTCATGTCCTCCTCCTTAAGAGTCACACGCTTGGATCCTCGACCGTAACTGTCCATGGCTGATAGGTCCGAGTGCCTTATCTGGTGCAGCTTGATCGAACGTGGTGGGGGTAAGCATAGATATCCATAATAAAGCCTTTATTATGGATATCTATGGGGGTAAGCCAATTGTTTTTTTTAGCTAAAGCTCCACCAAACTTCCGGGTCACGTAAACTGTACCGATTAAATATTAAAATCAAATTCTGCGTTGCTGTCCGTTTTTCCATTTCGTATTCTAGATCTGAGCTTAGAATTGATATATGAAAAACAAATCCTTTTTTCGTTTTTGGTTTAACCATAAAAAACAAAATAACCAGTCAATTTTTAATTTTTTGTTTTTTGATTGACAATTGAAAATAGAAAGAACGAATGATACACGGATTGAATATTTATTGTCATTATGAGACCATAATGAAAATTTGTGAGACATATGGCTCATAATGCAACATAAAGTACAGAGAAAGAACATAAAAACATTCAGAAGTGGATAAATCCTTAAAAGGACCCCACTAGGAATATACAAACAAATTGCAAAAAAAGATTAACTATGAAACTTTATTAAACTTCAAAGTAAAAAATTGAAAAATTCATAAAAGACATAAACATCATTAGTTCACATGGCCTTATCTTTAAAACAAAACATCTCCAGACCCTCTCACCATCTTTCTCCTCTAGACTTTTTTTTTTTTTTTTGCTTCATTTCCCTCACTCTAACACCCTTCTCCTCCCACCCCTCCCCTGTAAAAAGGCTATTCCTAGACCTGGACTTCATTTAGTCTGTGTGGTGGAAACAGAGACAGGGCCCAGGGCAGTCTACCATTTAAGGAGAGATCTCCCAATGTCGATAACTAGGTCTGATGAACGGCCATGTGTGTGAGTGTGAGTGCAGCGCTGGAGAGAGAAACAAAAAAGTTTGTCCTAACGTGACCAGTCTATAATGAGAGCACATAGGGGATTTCACAGACTTTGTTGGCATTTATTACAAAGAGCGAATACAATAAAATAGTAGATTCAGTATCCCAGGATGGCAACGAGGCACAAAGCTCATATCTCACAGATATAATGACCTATCTGGTTTGATTTCCCCAATGATACTTTCCACCAATCTTATGAAATCCCAAAGCAATAATAATATTGCTGTTATGGCCGATAACCAATATTTCTTTGGTACGACACTATCAATGTTAAACAATAAGCTAACAGCTCATGACTGATCAGCTCCTGTCAAAATGAAAACAAACATCTGTTAATGTTGGCTAGGGGTGCGGGAAAATTTAACATTGATTTTTTTTTTGGTCCTAATATCGATTTTAAAAAACTAAACAATTTAACAGAAACTCTGCACCGCTATATTCTAATATCGTGATAATATCATATCGTGACCCAAGTATCGTGACACGCATTGTATCGCAACTCCCATGCCAATACTCATCCCTAATGTTGGCCCAGTTTTTCTTATCGAACCAACAGCGATATTAGAGATGCACCGGTAAATCTGCCAGCTGATGTTTTAGGTTGAAATTAGCGTTTTTTCATGTATTAGTATCAGCTAATACGTGCTCGTGTTTGCCGATGTTTTAGCGCATTCAGTAGCCATGCCTTGAGACCAAGTGAAGAGCAGGTATTCCTGCTCCCTCCACCTGCTATTCAATGTAAATGATGTCAATGTTTTTGTTTTGTTTGTTAATAAATGTTTTGTTTTTGTCAACCTAGAAATTCGAATACAGGCAGCATCTTTAATGGAGGAGTTTAATGTCGAATGTCGGCATTCTGACTTCGATGGAAACTTAAAAAGCACGGACCAATCTTTAAAGCCATCAAAAAACCCTTTTATTCCAGTTAAAAAAATCTGTTTCAATCTACATAGATTAAATCTGTATTAAACTATGTAGGAGTATAACTATATCTGCTTGAAGAATTCTGTGAAATCTTTATCGCCTCTAATTGAGGGATATTTACCCTAGCATAATTAAATACTGTTACGACTGAATAATATTTACAAATCATTTATTCTTTCAACGCTTATTTATATATGTGAAGGCAGTTGTAGAGAAAAGAGATGGTATACTGCCAGAAATAGCAGTAATATTGGGTCAAATGTTACATAAGCTTACCAAACATACTTGTTTTGGTCAACTTAACTAAAGGACCATTTATATGAAAGCTACAGAATTACAGACACAGATTTCAGGCCATGAGGCTCTCCAGCTGAGTAGGTATTACAAGTTTTTACCAAATTATTAACACATTTGTACATCAGCCAAGCATATCAATACAGTTATATTGTACTCATATACTCTGCTGTGTATGAAAGCCATTTTGATCTTCGTTTTCGAAGCTTTCCTTTAATAATGGTGGAATAGGGCGCTGGCAAAGACGTGTGAGTAAAAACACACAAAAAACATGCTTTGTTCAGATGCTCAAGAGATAAGTATGCTGTGTGGAGGCTGTGGGTCTTTATATGGAACTGGATTTCTTGACATAAACTTGTTTAAATACAGGAGATTAATTAAACATGAAGTCTAAATCTTTTGTTTGTAGAACAATGTCAGTGACTTTTTGTCTAATATGTTGGATTTTTGGTTTGCATTATTTTAATGAGACATTTTAGCAAACCTCATGTTGTCAAACAGTTAATATTTATTCTTTTTTACTTGTAGTGATCATCAAATGAAAAGCAACCTTTTATAGATGTTCGCTTATATTGTTAGATACCAAAATAATGTGAATCATTTATGTGGAACCAAAAGGCAAAAACTGAACTCTTAAAGGCATAAAAAGTGTTTTATTATGTGGTTTAAAAGCAGCATAAAGCTATAACTGATATTGTTATGTTTAAAATAAATGTAGAGGCTTTATATGTTTACAGGAAATAACTGTATCCCTGGATCCACATCCCTGGACCAAGCTAATTAGACGACACAGGCTAAAGAGGAAATGCTGTATAACTGTTAATGCTACTGTTTCCAATGAGTACCTGAATATCTGAGGGCTTAGTGTGTGTGCTGCCTCAATCGCAGGCAAATCAGACAGAGTGTTGCTCTATATAAGGAAATGAGCAGTGGAGCCTGTCATTAGTCACAGGGATGGAGGAACAGAAAGAGAGTGAGACAGATGAAGACATACAAAGGAGAGAACAGGTTCAAGCCATGAAGATGCCACCTGA